AGCGATCTCGTCCCCGCTCCCTTCTCCAGACACACTCATTGCTAATACCTGGGACTGTGCAATGTTCCCCTTAGACCACAATATGTCTGAGTTCAGAAAGCACACTGTCTGCTGAGGGAATCTTACCTGACCTCCACAGGTCTGGAGCACCTGCTGCAAAATCTGGACTTATTTAAGCAAACACTAAGGCTCCAGGTGAGTGATCCACAATACTTTTGCTCCTGTCGCAGGCATCAAATTGATGCCCATTCTAGTGCTGATGGAGCTGCCATTTGTGATGTCAGCTGGTGATGTCACAATATCAAGGACATCAGCAATCCAGCCAGATGCTTTCCACCACCTCAGGAGCTCTCATCCAGGAGAAGAGCTTGCTCCATGCACCACCCTTGAGAGGACAATGGAGAACTTCTCCCTGCTCACCATTTCTGGACCATGTCTACCCAGCTGCACTATGAAGAGCACTCCTGATCTACCATCCCTCAGGGGCACCTCCAGCCTGCCAGGTAACGACACAGCATGGTGTCCTGTGTCCATTGCCATGGAAGAGGAAGTCACGTGGAGGTTAACATGTTTAGTATGATTTAAGGCATCATCAGACCTGCAGGCCCCACCTGGGGGGGTTAGTACTACAGTCCATCACAGCGACAGGTTCTGCAGCTGCTCACGGGGAGAGTGCCACAAGGCCAGGACGAGCTTGCCTAGGGACAGCAAGTCCCAGCAGCTACCATAGGCTAGCATGACAGAGTTTAATGGATGGCTCAACACTTCTCCAGCACTCTCCCAAGCCTTCTAGGGAGGAAAAGCAGCCTAGAAATGCCCAGTGAGAACAGGGTAGAGTTGTATCCCCATAGCCCAAATGGGGAAACTGAAGCAAAGGGAGATCAGTATTTTCCTAAGAGTGTTGGTTTCCTGTGCTTTACTCCAGAGCCCTTGAGCCAGATTTTTCAAAGATACTGACCATCTCCAGCTTTCACTAAGGTCAATGGGAACAAGAAGCACCTAGCACTTCTGGAAATTGGGTCTCAGCTTTCCAAACTTGGATGCTCAAAACCATCTTTGAAAAGTTGAGGTCTAAGTGACTTGCCCAGTGTCTCACAGTGAGTCAGTAGCAGAGCCAAAGGGAGCAGCCAGCAAAATTTCCATTCCTTCCCCGTCTCTGTGTCCTCTTGGATCACAGCTCCTCCATGTCTGGAGGAGGCTGTTAGTCAGGAAACCAGTATCTTATTTCCACCACGGGCAAGTCACTGACATTTTGGGGCCTGACATCCTCCATCTATAAAACAGGGATTATGGAGAAGGCCCTGGAGGCTTTGCCCTGCAGGATTCTCACTCTGGGACAGAACTCTCTAGTGCAGTGTGGATGACCAGCATCTGTGGCCTGGGCCAGACACCCGCACAGAACCGCCCTCATCTGCACAAACACCCGAGCTGAGGCTTCCCGTACCTCAGGGGGCTCACCCCTTGATCCTTGGCCACAGGGCCCCAGAAAGGCCACCGCAGTCTCTCCCACTTAGCAGTCTTCTCACAGGGGACTCTCCCATAGCATCTGCCAGATCTAGGGCTGGACAAGGGGCACAGGGCAGCCTTCAAAGGCCTGTAACCTATTGTGCTAAGCAAAGTCAGCTTTATAGCATGTCCGGGGCCTGTACCTTAGCTGGAGTTAGCGAGAGGCTAAAGCCCTGCCTGTCCCACCATCACCTTTTCTCTGGGGATTCACACCAGGGATTCCACAAGCTTCTGCTGCCACTGAGGGGCTGGTCCAGGACACGTCTCACTGCTCCTATGCCAGCAGAGCACTGTCAGGCACAGGCTCAGCATCACCCAGCGAGGTCGTGTGTGTGCATAACCTCTCGCAGCCGTGTCCCTAGGCCTGCCTGTCCCGTCACTCAACCCCCCTGCATGTGCCTTGCAGAGACCTGTGGCAGGGGATGCCCATCCTTGGGGGTGAAGTTGGACTGAGGGAGCAGACACTGCCCAGACAGGGAAGCTGGCCATTTCCACATGTGACAGAGATGGCTTCAGGGTATGACAGCATCCACAGCCAGTGGGGGGCCTTTCATGGGGGAGGAGAAAAGTTAGGTCAAGGTGGAATGAGCGCTTTGTAAAACAGCCCAACTCCTCAGAGCAGGGCTGGGTCTTGGTGCCCTGAATGGCTATGTTGGCAGGAGAGGAAGAAGCCCATGAGTCCTTCTGCTCTGAGATTTCCTTCCCAGCAGGTAAGCATTGCTCCCAATGCTACTGGAGGCTGTGGCAGATTTTGTACAAAGGCTGGCTGTGGCCAAGGTCACAGGCCCTGAAGATTCATTTCAGCCCCTTCTTTTCTTGGTAGCTTGTGTCCTCACCAAAGTCCACAGCAATGAGTCACCAGGGCGTAACTGCATCATCTACCGGCCCTGGTTTTCCCCATACAGCTACTTAGTGGACATGGACAAAACAGGCCAGCTGGGAGCCTGCAGCTTTCCAGATGCACTGGCAGTCAGTGACTGGGACACTGACCAATCTGAGGACCTCCCAGAGAGCATCTCCTCCTCCTCATGCTCCCTGGAGAAGACTTATCTCCACAAGAGCAACAGGAAAACCAGTTCTGGCTGGGAAGCCCGAAACAGCATCACCTCCCGGGACATCCTCACAGCTTCAAAGTGGCAGCCGTTGCCTCACAATGGCTACAAATGTGTGGCATGCTGCCGTGTGTTCCCCACCCTGCATGCCCTCAAGACTCACATCAAGTGCAGCTTCAAGGAGGGCTTCAGCTGCAAGGTGTATTACCACAAGCTCAAAGCCCTGTGGGAGAAGGAGCGCAAGGCCCGACCTGATGATGGGCTACCCTTCAACACCACCAAAATGCCCAAGTGACCCAGACCAGCTTGGGTGCCCTGTCTCTACTGTTACCATTGTGGAGACAGCACAACGCACTTCATTCCCTATTACAGAACCAGAATAAATCAGATTATTAGGAGCAGCTGTTTTTAATCTGCTGATGACTTTTCCTGCTTGGGAGAAGGCAGCTTCCAAAGGTATGAACACCCCATCCAGACAAGACTCATGCCTATGGGTTGGTTGTCTGCAGCTCCTACATGGTCACAGAAGCCATGGCCATCATGCTGGGATCAGTCTCCTCCCACCCTTGCCAAGTCATAGTCTCTACTGTCCAACAGGGTCACCATAGTCAGCCCAGCAGAGTCCCCTCTCTGCTTCACTAATCAGAGCTGCACCCTTCCCCCAGGCTAGTAAGAGATTCCTATCACCAATCTTCAACATTTTAGAGATTTCAGAAAATATAAGAGTAAGTCAAAAGCTACCTTAGGTCTAAAAGGAGAATATTGAAAGCCACTGCCTGTGTGCGACTGCCATACAACTCAACAGAACCAGGCAGGTCACCTGGAGTGAGAGAGGGAGCAGAAATGAAAAGAGAGGACAATTCAGTTAAAAGGAAGTGCCAAGAGGCTACTCAAGCCCCATGGGCTCCTTCTGGAAAGTGGGAGAAGGCCAGCATGGTTCTGAGAGAGATGAGAAAGGCCAGGGCCCTGTGGGTGTTGGTGTAAAAATCCTGCCTTGCATTGTCCCTCTGTTCTCAGCTCCTGCCTAATCTCAAACCCACCTTGCTTTCAGAAGAGCCCAGGCACCTGGAAGGACCTTGGAGACAGAGTGGGAGTCCTGGTTGTAGGCATGTCTTCTGTTCCTCCCTCCTGCTATCTGCTCTTTCAGTAACTGGTTTGAACGGAGGTGGCTCTAACATACACAATGTCAACTCATGCTTTGCCTGGCTTTGCTCCTCCAGAGCTCAGAGAAGACAATCCCCAGCCTCTCTATGGTGCACCTGATCATTAGAGAAAGTGCTATCAAGAAAGGCCTGGCTTGTGGGATCAAATTTACTCAGCAAAATGTCTTCCTCTAATTGGAACAGGGAAACATAATGATGACTCTAGTGTTTGCCTGGGAGCTGTGCAGGACAAACCTTAGACTTGTCAAACTTGAAGCCATAATCATGCTTCACATGCCTCAATGAGACACAGTCAGGCAGGCAAATTGGCTGGAGGTATTACAATGGAACAAGTTGATTTTGTTGAATCTCCAGCAGGAAACCAGGCAAATTTCCAAGGATACCCTGGTTTCCTTGCCAGTACACCTGCTTCACAGGCTACTGCAGAGGCAGGACCCTGAAGGAACTGGGAGGCTCAGTTCAAGGTCAAGCTGTTGCTCTCAGGGCTTTCAGGTTCTCAACATATTGGGGAATCATTGCAATTTTGTTTAAAAAAAGAAAACAGAACCAGGATCACATTGGACTCCCTCATTTCATGGGAAACCTTAAAATGGGACGTTTTCATTTAGACAGGGAACAATTTTCTTCAAACATTTCAGGGTTTTCCCCCAGAACGAGAATTCTGGGTCTCCAACTGGCCTTAGCCAGAGGATGCCAGACACCTGTTTAATGTAACACAGATGTCCTAGCTCTGGTGCCGTGGTAACAAAGACTAATTACTGCAGACATGCAGGAGGAGATGGTAGCCAAGTGCCACATCTTGTGAAGTCAGCTCATTACTGCACTGGGCTTAAGTTCAGCAGCAACAACCAACCAAACGCAGCTCAATCCTGAGCCACTCTAGCCACAAAACAGATGACAATCTGGCATAGACTGAATTGCTATGCCGTCTGTGATACATGGATGCTGAGAGAATGGCACCAAATGGGGCTCAACCCTGTTCTGTGCCAGGGTGACAGCTGCCTTCTTGGCTGCTCCAGTAGGGACTGAAATGGAGGGACTCAAAGCTTCACTGGCCGCATTACAGCTTGGCTGGGGCTGTGACTGTAAATGGCAGGTAGGGTAGGATGTGTGGGCATACCTGCTAGCTGTGAAAGGCAGATTGCCATGCTAGCACAACTGCCAACACTGAGTCCCATATAGTGCACTCAAGGGCAGCTGGACTTGACAGTGCTGTGGTGGAGAGACGGTAGTTATTATAATGGGCCATGCACAGTCAGCCCTTGGGGCATTCTTAAAACTGAGAGGAGCAGTCCCTCTCCTTTCCCATCCATACAGGGTACTGACTAGTCATAGGTCTGAGTTCTCCATATTGCCAAGGACTGAAACAACTGTCTCCAAACTAGTCTTGCCGAGAGTCTTGTGAAAGGACTGCTTCAGTGGGAAGTTTGTCTGAGGGAGGACTGCAAGCTCTAGCTGGACAGCTCTCTACTGTAGTCTACAGCCCTGGCACAAACTCCCTGTGGGGCAGGAGCAGCTTCCCCCTGCAGCAAGGAACGGAGATCCTGCCAGTGTTTCATTAGTACTGTAACTGAATGTGTGCATTCCAGTAATCCACGGGGACCCCAAGGGAGATGGGGCAGGGAGGGAGCTCTCATTATGCCAGGCACTGCAGAGACCATGAGCAAACCTGGCCCTTTGTGTATCAGGTGCTGCACAGACCTTGACTGAGGGTGGCCCTCCCCTCTCTGGCATTGTCCAAGTGTTGTTGTACAGACCCTAAGCAGAATCAGGCCCCCCCAAAACTACCACTAAAAGACAGCTCCTGCCCAAACTTTTTCCCAGTCACACTGGCTGGAGTGGGGTAGAATGGCTGCAGGCTCTCATACAGCAGCACAGCAAGGGGCTGCATCTACAGTGGAACCTGTTCCCCGAAGTGGCTCCAGTGTGCCACACCATGCCATAAGGGACTGTTGGGAAGTGCCACAGGGACCCCTGTCCAACTGGATCCAACTTGGGCTGGTTTCATGGGACAGGTTTCACTGTATGGAACGCCCCATTTTCCAGGAAGCTGGCTCCCATGCAGGCTAAAAATAGCTGGGTTGCTCTAGGCCTTAGAGTTTGGAAGGTGGAGGAAGTGACTGAGAGAGAGGGAACGAGGGAGAGAGAGAGACAGAGAAAGAAAGGAAGAGACAACAGAAAGCCTTGAGAAATAGAAAGATTTATTTAGCAAAAGCCAACCAGCTAATGACAACACCCAGGGGTTAAGTGCACTTACATCAACAGGTCTGTTTCCCAGATAGATTGAATCAACAGTTAGCAACATACAAGTTGTAGGAAAAGAAAGGACAAAAAATAGAGCTTTAACCCCCTCCTCCCACCACCTCACCAAGGTCCATAACAGAAGTGTGGGGCTAGAGAGGAGTTTTATAGGCAACGTCAAGTTACTGGGAGTATGAGTTACACATATACAGTTCCTGCTCCTGTGGGACAGCAGGATGCTGGAGGGGGGGGGCCTGGTCCCAGCAGCACCGAAAGCAAGTGAGATGCCTGGCTCCAACCGCAGGACACCGCACCCCTCTGCCAGGCACTGCTGACCAGAAATCCCAAGGCAGCCACCCCAAAATGAGGCCGGCCCCAGCATCACCGTTTCCAAACCCTGGCCCTTGCCTAAGCAGGAGCTAAGCTGAGTGCTGAGAAAGAAGCTGGGAGCAGACAGCTGCTACAGAGACCCAGCTATTGGTCTCCCCCAAGGCAGCTGGCTCCAGCTCAGAGAAGTGGTTAGAGAGGCTCCCTGACTCACTGACATGTACATTTTCCTAGCACTATCCCAAGGTCACTGCAGCTCCAGCTCCCTTCCCTGCCGTTGATGGTTTTCCCTTCTGCTGCCTGTGCTGATGCAAAGCGAGTGTGAGCTGGGGAGCAGAAACGGGATGGCAGAAAAGGAGAGGGGGAAATGGGGTTGCACCTGCCCCAAAAAGCAGGGTAGACTAGACTATGGATTAAACTATGACTTCCTTCTGGTGCTTTTCAGTGCCCTCACCCTCCATTTGACACCCCTGTCAAAGCCCAGAGCTCCAAACCCTTATTAAAATCTCCCTACAAACCCATCCCCTGGCCCCCTCATGTCTCATCGCTCCTTTCATCTCCCTTGCTTCTCTCTTTCACTCCCTCCTTTCCCTTTTCATATGCATGCCCTTCTCCTGGCCTTGCATCCTCTCTCCTGTTGTTTTAACTGTGCCCAGGACTGATGACAGGCTATTAGGATCCACTCTGCACTGCTGCTTGACTAAGTCCTCTTCTCTTGTTGATGGCACTGTGATTGGCAGGCCCACAGGCCCATTGGCAGACCATGATTGTCTTAATAGGAACAGGCCCACATGCAGCCCTGATCATGGTAACCCCACCATCTTGTCCATGAGGCCAGTCACGCAGAGGAGCTCTGAGCCACTTCAAGTTCCAGATAAACAAAAGTGCATCCCAAATCCCTCCCAACCTACTCTCTCTGACCAGAGTGCCCCACACAAAGTGTGGGCAGACAGCACTCTCTCCCAACCCACTCCCTGCCTGGCTGAATGAAACCTGTGCCCAGATGGAACGGGAGTGTGATGGAAGTGATACTGGTGAGCAGAGGAATACCAAACACTAAGAAATTCCCATCACCTTGCCTTCTGTCCAAGGAGCCTGCCCTAGGTTGTTAAAACCTATCCCAGCTGGAGAGATTTGAGCACCCAGACACCCCTCCGTGCCCTGACCCCACAAAACATGCCTCAGCCAAACTTCCACAGCCCGCCCCTTCAGTCACCCAGGACAACATCCTGCGCTTGCTCACTGCCCTGATCCCTCAGAGCATGGCTTCACAGCCAGTTCCTCATCCACATCCCCTGTGCTAGACAAAGCTGCATGCAGCACATCACTGACCTGTCCTGGCTCCTGGGCTCTTCAAGAGCTGCCAATGCCAGGGAGACCCTGGGGAAGGCAAGAGATGGAGCTTTCTCAACAGGAGATAAAATCCGTCATGGCAGGAGGTGAGCCTGAGGCTCCATCACTCTGCTCTTACCCCTACCCTTTTGGGGAGAATCCTGCCACAGCCAGCAATGAAGAAGAGCAGGCAGAAAGGCAAAGGCAAGAAGGCAGAGAGGCCAGAGAAGCAAGTGAGGAGGGAGTAAAAAATAGGATAAATAAATGAACAAACGTCCCATGTTGTCAAGTGCCTCTGGGGGAGCAGAGAGGAAAGACAGGTCCTGGCTGACTAACACATTGGCCATTGTCTCTTGGGAGACACCAAATACTGCAGTGATGGGCAACAGCTAAAGATCTCAGGAAAGGCAGGGGGAGTTCCTAGTCCCATAGGGGTGATCAGGGCTATGGGCTCTTGTAGAACAAGCATCCCACAACATACTTGTTGAGGTGAGGACAGGTTGTTAGCCAGCAAAGCCTGAAACCTGACTGGCAGAGCTGGTAGCACAAAGTACTGGCTCTGAAGTGGGAAGCAGGAGAGGAGGTAGGACATATGGGGTGGGGTGGAGGGGGTTGGAATAAGGAATCTCTTCTCTCCTCCCACGTACCCTGAGGAGTCTGTAAACAGGGTCTGTTTGCTGTTAATAACCAGGCCACCTGTCTCCCTCCCCAGATCCTGTCTCTTTAATGGCATCATCCCTGGAGCCCTGGCTGGCTTCTCTTTCATTAGTGTAACTCCAGAGCTGAGCCTTACAGTATGTGACACACAGCAATTAAGCAGTTCCTGGCACTGGTTCACATGGCAGCGTTCAACCTGCAGGAGCACAGTTGGAATGGCGTAGCTATCAGGACGTCATTTGGAAGCTGGTATCCAGGACACCCACCAGCACCTCTCTCCCACCATGCACCCCAGTGGGCTTCTAATCAGCTCCCCCTTCAAAGAGTCATTAAAAATCAACATTGCATGTCCAAGCTGGGCAAACAAGTGCCAAGCAGTCAATATAACCAGGGAACTGTGCCACAAAACAGCCCTCCCTCCTTGGAAACAGGTTATATGAAGAGTAAACATACTACAGTCTGAAGGTTCAGTGACCAAAAGGGGTCCCCCAGCTGTGCTCACAGGAGCAGGGCATGAATTTTTTTGTTAGCCCCAGGTATTTGCCTTGGCTGGAAAAGTAGGTGTAGAAAAGCTGCGTTTGTGAGAGTGTCCTTTTGCACCCCCCCAAATCTACACTATTTGTGAGTGCAACCAGCTCTGCACACAGTGGAGTGGCTGGCTGACAACCTGAAAGTCGTAGCCCCCCTGTAGTCCAATGATTATGGTAAAATCTCAGCTCTCATCTATCTACTAAAAAAAGCAGGTTTCTAGCCCTGAGGGCTGCAGAAAACAGCATGAGAATGTGACTTGAGGGCACCCCCGAGGCTCAGAAACTAGACGGCAAAGGAAGAGAGCCTTGTGTTTATTAATTGAAAGCCAATCTTTTGATTTCTGGGCCTGTCACCCAAGTGCCTGGGGCTATCCATGCTGTCAAAAGCAGCATGACTTAGTGCCTTTGCTTTCCAGCCTGGTGCTCCAAGACGTCCCCTTTCCTCTCTCAGTCAAAGTCTCCGTTCTCTCTTCCCATTGCTCCCCCTACTCCCTAAGTCTTTGCATGAGAACTGTCCAGGGTTAGCAGTCCTCTCCATCCTACTTCAGCTTCCCCTCCACTGCCTCAGCACTTAAACTCTTCATCTCTCCAAAACTGCACCCACTCCCACCTGCTCCCCTGATGCTACTCCTGCTTTCTTCACTATCTGCCCATAGCCACTGCTCCTTTCCTCTCTCCCTCCACTTACCCTGGCAACCCACCTATTCCTGCCTTCAGGGTAGATGGTGCCGTCCCAGCAAGGTCCCTCCAGCAATACATTCTAACACTCGCAGTGCAGTCACCCTTGGCTGCTGGCTTGTACCTCTGTAGGAAAGGCCTCTAGCAAATCATCAACAAGCATTTCTCTTAACGAAACCTTTTCCTGGGGACTCATGTCTGCCAGTTGACAGGCCGCATTAATACAATGAGAGAGGGTAAGAAACCACATACTTGCCAGACCTAAGTTAGGGCATCTGAAGCCTGAACACTTGTTGTCTTTCTCTTCCAATTATACAACATGATTCAATAAGAGACATTACCTCACCTCACATATCTCAGTTCTCTCTTATCCTTGGACCATCATATCAAAAACAATATCCTGCACCTAGCAAGGAATACCCAGAGAAGCAGTCTCCTAAAGCAGAAACCCAGCCAGGTCACACATCCTTTGGAATATTTTAGACTGTAAACAAACAGGAACAAATAACATGCGTCTGCTCTAGAGCCAAGATCTCCAGTCTGTAAGAGGATTGGAGTGACTTTTACGATTTATAAAGCCATAGGGGAAGAGTTTGGCTCCCTTCACATTTGGAACTTCCTCACTCCTTCACTGTATTTGTGACTTTTTTTGCATTTGATTTGCATGTTTTATGCAAAGGAAAAGAAAGAAAAATAAGGATGAGATCTTTGCACGGCTCTGTTGCACTGTGTTCAGTGATCTGGGAGGGTAGAGGGTGGTCAAAACACAAAATGGCTGAGGTTAGTCAAACCCAAAGAGGGCAGTGAGGGAGGGCAGAAACCTGACCAGGCTATGGGGGGCCAGAGGGGTATGGGCAAAGGGGGCAGAGGTGGCATTCAGTTTTGACCAACAGAGCTTGAGGCAGGCTGAAAAGAATGATCTGAGTTGCTTTGTGTGCATGGGTAGGGTTTAGATGAACTGGGACTGTTCAGGGAAAAACACCTGTAGAGAGTCAAATAGATCAGTTGTTCACTGATGCTGCCTTCAGAACAGCAAGCCATACAGCAAGCTGCGTAAAGACTGGAATGGAGGACAATACAGAAGACAGGACTGCTGAAGAAGGAGGGATAACCTGGGGATTAAGGTGAAAGCCTGGAAATTTTCCTCTGCTCTGCCACAGATGTACCATGTGCCCAAATCACTTGGTCTCTCTGTGCCTCAGGTCCTCCTCTGTACAAAAGGGGCAAGAGCTTTGCCCCACCTCACCTTGTGCATTAAACACTGTGACCTGGTCACATACCACAGCCCAGAGAAGTACTTACACTGATATACACCATCACAGACATCAATGGTGTTCCCGACCGCAGAGGTCAGCTGAGGTTACCCCCTCTCATGAAACAACAGAAACAGGAAGGGGCCCAAA